ATATATATAGATAGAGAGAGAGAGAGAGAGAGAGAGAGAGAGAGAGAAAGAGGCATATATATATATATATATATATATATATGCTCTCTTCTTTCAGAAGATTTTAGCTTGTTTCAAGTTGACATAAAATTTTCCAGCACAAAGTTCATACTATAGGCAACTGGCATGCTGTTATAAACCATGATAATATACTCTCAATCCCAAGCAAGCAGAAATAACTCTTCAGTTGTGAGAAATTTAAAAAAAAAATGAATATCCATAATCACAGGTTTAAAAAGTTTTATTTATATTCTTGCAAAAAGAATGAACAAAAGTACAAAGGTTTTTAATTCACCAGTTTCCCAGAATTGTCCATATGGATATCTATAGCTATGAGCTCAGTTAGAGACTAAAGACAATTATACAGTATTGCTGTCCTTTTTATTTCTGTAGATGCAACTTGAGAAATACTCTGATTAAAACTATTATCCAATAGATGATCACCTTAGAAACTATAATTTGAGTAGAAAAAATATGGAGCTTTGTGTTGTCTAATAATCAAAAAGTCTTATGAATTATGAATAATACAGGATTAGGCAATATTGTCACATGAAAATCGCAAATTAGTTGCACACTAGTAGATGGTATGCTTACTGTATAGTATAGATGACATATATAGTCCTTTGTGTCATCTGTCCTTAACTGAACCATCACTTGCTGTGCCTAACAATAGCTGCAATCAGATACATGTGTATACGCATATACATGTGTTAAAAATGAAAAAATATTTGAGTTATTGTTTCCTGAAAACATATTTTCTGTATTTCTTCCAAATTATAGTGCAATAGCACAAATGTTATACATATTTTGCTATTATAGATACATAACTAAAAGACTGTAATATACATTCAATTTTCATAACCAAATCTACGTGATTCTATACTTGTTTGATGAAAAATCTATTATTGATAACGTCATTCAAAGGAATCAACAATGGCAAATTTTATGTTCTCTTCTTTAATTCTTTTTAATGTAAATACCTTGTCCTAACGAGGTTCGTGGTATACTGACTAACTTAGCTGAAGGAAAGAGAAATGATTTTCTCATTTTCATCTCACACATAGTTTATGAAATCATCATAAATGATTTATTATTTATTAACGTTCAGCTTAAGGTTTCAATAAAATACATGGGACAAGTCTAAAATGGTGATTTTAAGATCTGTCCAGTTGTCAGCCATGAGACTTGAAACTACCTCTGGAAACTCATCTGTGTACCTCAGTTTCCTTGACACCCGAAGGAAGAAGAATGAAAGGCCCATCCGTCTTTCTGAGCAGCCTCGGTGAAGAAGTGCTCGCTCTACACGTCAGCAGATACTAATGCTATTTGCTCTGTCATTCTGTCACTTACTTCTTAATCTCTGGTTTAAGAGCCTCTTGGCACTTGCAATTACACCGCTTTAGCCACCTGATTCAAGCGATCTTAATGCCTAAGGAGCTTAGGCATCCAAATATATACCGAGGTACAGGGAAACGGGTAGATCCTCTTGAGTTTTAAGCCCAGTTTATGCAAATAGTTAAGTAACTTTCATATAATGTAAAAACCACTTATAATTTATATTCCTTGTCTTATGCTAGAAACACAGAAACCATTTTTTTACAGTGGCCAAAGAGACCACAGATACTTTTTGCCTGTGTCTAAACTGCATTGGGAAGAAAAATGTTTTTTTTTAATTAATTTATTTCCATATTCTCTTTACATCCTGATCTTCACCCCCTCCCTCCTCTCATACTCTATAATGACGAATGAATGAAAGAATGATTGAATGAATAAAACTGGTTAAAGTGCGATGACTTCATATATTGTGTTCCTTAACGCTTCATTCTCAGAATCACTAGACCATTGAGAAAAAATGAAAAACTTAAGAAAGAAAAATAACAATTACCAAGAATATTTTTCAGTAATACACTGTGTGTAATAACACCTATAAACTGAATAACTGTGCCTTCAAAACAGTGCCATATAAAATACTTTAGATGTATTGAAGTATTTTTTAAAGTTTAAACTGTGTATTTTAAGTACCTTAAATATATACATTAAATTGTGTATATAATCAAATTACAGCAATAATAAGAATGTCACATATATACATAACAACATTTAACTTTAAAAGAGACAAATTGAGAGTAATAAATAATGTCAATATGAATTTATGATTTAAAAAAATCTATATACTATAGATTTTTTTCATTACCTAGTTTTAGTCGAACTCCTATCAAAAGAAACAACGAATCAATACTTGCATTTAAAAAGCGGTAATGTGTGTCATACCTTCTCATGGACTTTCTGGCCAGGTTCCATCCCTTCAAGATGTTCTGATTCTGTGGATCCCTCACTTGATACCATTTTTCTCTGAATATGAATATTTTGCTCACGCAAGACAACAATCTGCAAAATAAAAAAGTAATTCCTTTAAAAGATAATTTACATTAGTGTGGCTAATTGCAAATGAAGATGGACAAATGATTGAAGCACAAATATTAAATTTTCCTACATTATTATTTCAAAAATGTCTTTATAGAATTTAGATCACCATTTTGAATAACACTCATATGAACTCACAACCTTTCTCTTTAAAAATTTAAATCAATGCAAAACTTACCGAAAATATATTTTCCGTTTGGAAATACAGTGGCTAACTGCAAAATTAGCTTTTAAATTGTGTTGTTATAAAAATTCCCGTTGCATGTACTTTTATATTGTGCAAGAAATACACACAAAAATAATACAGGCTGGAAAGTAATTAATTATAGTCCCAATTATTTAACCTACAGAGATAGCCTGTAGCAAATCCATGAGCTGGACTTACATGAATTTATATACATGATCCATGTTGCTATATTTAAGTCTGACTCACAGTCATTGTCGTTTTTTTATCCAAGTTTACCTAACTGAAAAAGAGATCAGCAATAAATTCTTGTGCTTTTTCAGCTCAACTTTATGGAATGATATTCCAATTGATGAATAGGTAGGTTCTCAAAAAGTTCCAAATGTAATCCAAGTAGTAAGGTGAATATAAAATAGTATTCTGATCTTTTCAAATGGTTTTTAAAATATTACTACTTACATAAACCTAAAAACAATTTATGTGATAATAATAGTGTAACTTCATGGATTGGATTGGTTTTTATGCTATCAATTTATATGCTATGACTAGATGTAGAATGAATCCATTTCTGCAATATCTTGTATGTGGTAAATACTGAATTGTACAAGACTTTGAAATCATGAGACAAATGGATCACACAGACCAGCAATCGTTAACGAAAAGGACAGCAAGAATTTTGGTGTTCCTTGCATTACTTTTCAGTGTGTATGGGCTGGGATGGTGTGGCTGAGAGCATGTATGTAATATTGTTTTATGGGGCACGCCACTACATAACAGAAACAGTTATTTAAGTATTGCTTCATAGTAAAACAGTCATCAAATGATTGGCTTTTTAGAATCTTTCTTGCTCTCAATGAGTTATCTATAAAACGAACAGAATCATATTAGCAAAAAAGGATGTACATGTAAATGTCTGCTTTTTCATTACATATGGACATGCTCATGTCAGTGGGTCCCCATGCGTGTTTGTGCATTCCTATCTGAGTTTGAGCATGTTGAGGCCAGGGGTCGATATTGGATGTGTCACTTGTTTTTTCCCACATTATCCAATGAAATAAAGTATCTCACTGAACCTAGAACACATATGTTTGAATAAGTTGGATGGCCTATGGGCTCCAGGGACCCATTTGTCTCTGCCTACCTAACCTACAACCACAACTCAGCACTGTAGTTCCATGTGCAGGATATAACACTTCAGACTTTTGTGGAGATGTCGGGAATCCAACTGCAATTCATCACACATGTAAAAAACAGGGACCATGCATTGAGAGGACCTAGACCCCCTGCTTAGATGTAATAGCTCAATCTCCATATGGCCTTCCTAGTAATGGAGCAGGGCCTGGCTCTGACATGCACTTAGTGGCTGGCTCTTTGATCACCTCCCCTAGGTGAGGTGGTCTAACAGAGAAAGAGGATCCAGACAATGCTGATGAGACCTGATAGACTAGGGTTAGGTAGAAGGAGAGGAAAGTATCCCCTATTAATGGACTAGAGGATCTTAGGTGAGGTAGAGGGAGGAAGTATGGGACTGGGAGGAGATGAAGGAGGGGGCTACAGCCAGGATACAGAGTGAATAAATTGTAATTAAGAATAATAATAATAATTTTTAAAAAGAGGGACTTTAGCCACTGAGCCATTCTCTCATCTAGAATAAGTTTTGAACATGTTATTTTATATTGTTTTATTCACTTTTTAAAATAAAAATTATATTGTATCCCCAATGTTTTCACGCATTTAAATGTTTTGCAAATTATTTAATAGTATTTTTGTTACTTTAGAATTTAATTTATGTATATAAAGAAAATTGATCATATACTCTTCCTGACACTCCCTAAATTTTTCTCCCTAATAGCTTGCTCTCAGCATTCTCTTTTCTCTTCCCTTCTCTTCCCTTCTCTTCCCTTCTCTTCCCTTCTCTTCTCTTCTCTTCTCTTCTCTTCTCTTCTCTTCTCTTCTCTTCTCTTCTCTTCTCTTCTCTTCTCTTCTCTTCCCTTCCCTTCCCTTCTCCCCTCTCCTCTTCCTCCCTTCTCTCCCCTCCATTCCTCTCCTCTCCCCTTCACTTCTCTTCTCTTTTCCTCTCCTCTTCCTTCCTTTCCCTTCTCTCCTCTCCTCTCTTCTCTTTCCCTACCCTCCTTTCTTTTTTCTTCACTTCTTTCCTTTTTTCTTCTTTTCTCTTCTTTCTCATCTCTTCTTTCATTTCATTTTTTGATAACTCTCTAAGTCAGTTAGTGCTGCTGTCATCAATTGGGCAAGGGGTCATTCACTGGAAATGGGCCGTGTACTACTGGCTGCACGTTTAAAAGAATGATTCTCCAAGCAAGAAATACTGGCAGCAGTTCTTTGCTTCTATTTGATCCATTAGAGTAGCTACAATGACCTCCTTTCTGTTGCACAGACATTCTTAGATCTTTTTCCTTCTATAACTTAGGGATTTTATTGTCCTTCTGTCTGAGATATTTCTCCAAGTTCTTCCAATATCTCAGTTTTCAAAACTCAGCAGAAATAACTCACTTCAGAGAGATGGAATCTTACCTTCAAAACTTTTTAAGATATCCCTGTTCATTTTTGAGTGTGTAGGACTCCCACATAATATGTTTATTTTCTTCATTTTTTCACTTTGCCTATATGCCTAACTGAAATTTTAATAACTCATAGAAAAACAATTTTCAAAAGAGTGCTTCGTTAAAAACATTCTTTTCTTTTCTTTTTTTTTTTCTTTTTTTTTTTTTGGCTTTTTAAAAAATATTTAATCACGAAATTGTGTTCATGCTTCAGGAGGAAGGAGGAAAAAGAGCCCAGAGGTCACCAGAATCATATGGGTTATAAGATTCACTCATACTCACTTTTCAAATGACTATTTTATCTTTCTTTCTCCTCCAGTCATGCTCATCTCTCATTAGAATACCGATCAGAATGGCTAAGGTCAAAATCTCAAGGGATGATTCATGCGGGAGAGGTTGTGGAGAAAGGGGAACCCTCCTCCATTACTGGTGGGAATGTAACCGTGTACAACCACTTTGGATATCAATCTGGCACTTTCTCAGAAAATTAGGAATAATATTACATCAAGATCTAGTATACCACACCTAAAAAGTTGCCCCCAAAGATGCCTATCATTTAATAAGGACATTTGATCAACCGTGTACATAGAACCTTTATTTGTAATAGCCAGAATCTGGGATAAAACTATGTGTCCCTCAACAGAGGAATGGAAACAGAAATTGTGGTACATTTACACAATTAAAGACTATTGAGCAATTAAAAACAAGGAAATCAAGAAATGTGTAGGCAAATGGTGGGAAATAGAAGATCATTCTGAATGAGACAACCCAGAAGCAGAAAGACACATATGATATATACTCACTTATAAGTGGATATCAGCCACATAATATAGGATAAACATACTAAAATCTATAGCCCTAAAGAAGCTAAACAACAAGGAGAACCCTAGTGAAGACGCTTAATCCTCATTCAGAAAGACAAACAGGATAGATATCAGAAGTAGAAGATGACAAGGAACAGTACAGGAGCCTTCTACAAAGGACCTCTGAAAGACTACCCATAAAGGAATGCAAGGAGATACTGAGACTCATAGCCAAACTCGGCAGAGTGCCAGAATCCTTATGGAAGAAGAGGGAAAAAGAAAGACCTGGAAGGGACAAGAACTCCACAAGGAGAACACAGGGCTAAAATACCTGGGCCAGGGGCCCTGTGGAGACCGACACTACAACTAAGGACCATGCATGGAGAGGACCTAGACTCCCTTTTCAAAGGAAGCCCTTTGGCTGCTCAGCTTCCAAGTGGGTTCCACACTAAGGAGTATAGGTGTTGTACTTGAAATGAACTCACTGGCTGGCTCTTTGATCACCTTGCCTTGCAGGATGTAGCCTTGCCAGGCTACAGAGGAAGATGATGCAACCAGCCTTGATGAAACCTGATAAGCTAGGGTCATATAGATGAGGAGGAGGTCCTCCCCTATTAGGGAACTAGGGAAAGGGCATAAGGGGAGAAGAGGGAGGGTAGGTGGAACTAGGAGGAGGTGAGGGAGGGGGCTGCAACAGGGATACAAAGTGAATAAACTGTAATATATAAATATAAATAAAATTTAAATTTAAAAATTATTTTTTGTTCACTTTACATCCTGATTGAAGCCCCATCCCTCATCCACTCACAGTCCTACCCTCCCTTCCCCCATCCCTCTCACCTATTCCTCAGAAAAGTGGAGCACCCTTACCCATCCACTCCAGCTCATCAAGTTGCATCAGGACTTAGTATGTTTTCTTCCTTTGTGGCCTGGTAAGGCAGCCCTGCCAGAAAACCAATGATCAAAATGGTGGCAAGTGAGGGGAATTCAAGCAGTTACTCTTAGTAGTAGAGGCCATAAAGACTTAAAAGGACATCTTCTAACTAGACTAGCCTCCTAGTAGAGGGAGGGGAACTCCAAACCATCCACAAAAACTTCAACCCCAAATTTACCCTGCCTACAAGATGTACAGGCATGAAGATAGAGCAGATTGAGCAGAGATTGAGGGAATGTCCAACCAATGCCTGGCCTAACCAAAGACCTATTCTGTGGGAGAGTACCAACCCCTGACCCTATGAAAGGTATTCTGCTAAGCTTGCAGACAGGAGCCTGACAAGAGTTGTCCTCTGAAAGACTCTGTGCAGCAGTGCCTCAAAACCAATGCTGAGACTTACTACCAACATTGGGCGATGCTTAGGGAGTCATGTGAAAAAGTGGGAAGAATGGGAAAAGGACCTGGAGGTGATAGAAGTTCCA